CTCACAGCCAGTCATCGGTGCCTGAAACAGACTGCCCGAGGGGGTCATAATGGCGAACTCCACAGATGCATTTAAACGCGAACTGGATCTATATTTACTTAACAGATGCCGTTTATATGCACAAGAAAGCATTGCTAGTAGTCACCGCTGCATTCGTCAAACCTACGGATAAAAATTTTACATGCGTATATGTTACTCACTATTTTATAGTAACATATTATATGTTAGATATTTTATGCATACTGTTTTCAATAGGGTCTTCGAAGGCTTTGGCTACTACCCTTAATATACTAAACTGAACTATTTTACGTGCTTGACTTATCTCTCTCAGATAAAAACGTTTCCAAGCCAACAACCTTTAACTTACCATTTAGCATTACCAGTTAGACAGGAATTTTGAGCAGCCAGGAATTTTCTCCCTTTGGCCTTTCAGAGACATTTCTTATGCATAAAATAGAACGCATACTGAAACGAACGACCTCATAACAGTACCCACATTTTTGTATTAACCGGTAAGTTCAAGAGCAATGAAAATACGCATTTTTCAGATATCGAGAGTACTTGGTTTTCGAGGTTTGCTTGTCGGTGAATTTTGCCCAAAGCGCTCGTCCTCCTATTCTTGTTCTTATTTCTATATTCGCTAACTTTGTGCTGCGTGTCAGGTGGTTTCTACGAGAACCCATTTGGTGGAAGCTATGAGCTGTTGCCCCTAGTAACGCACAAGATGGAAAAAAAGATATCCTAAAACCCGTTGCCGTTAAAATCCTAAAGTTTATGTGTGGGCTTTCTAAGAAAAATCTTTAAAGCAGACCAAAACCAATCCTCCCCCTCACACAGTAAACATATTTCGTTGAAATTGTCATGCATACAATGTGAAAAAGACAAAAGTTCTGCAATGAGATTTCTGTTAAAGGGAACGTTTACTGTTGTTCTCAGAGCATAGGGAGGCGACGAATATCAGGCCTTTGATTCCAAACCGATGTTCTCCCGACGTCAAATGGTCAGTTATACGAGGACAAAACTCTTTTTCAAAACGTTTAAGTAAAGAGATTGCTTGCAATCCGTTTCGCAAATATCCACTAAATTTCGTGGCTTTTTAAAGTCTACGAGTTGCTACTTATGTAGTCATTGCAGTTGATGCATGACCCGGAAATACGCTGAATTGATCATCAGCATGGTGGAATGAATATAACATCCGAACTTAAAGTTGCGTAATCTCAACTAAAGGTTTTCTACTTTTTCACTCTACATATCAATTGCAGTCCGCCGTTCGGATGTTGGAGCATCTAGTTTTATTTTGCGGATGAAGATATCATGAAATATTTGAACATAGCTCGGACCTAGTTGTACTTTTAGGTCCAGCTTGTCGCTGAGTCTTGAGGTATTCCAGATTCCCCACATCGAGCATGTCAAACTGTCAACTTTTCACCTTCGAGACTACGAGTGGTGTCAGCTGTTACCAGTTGGTGTTAAAATATTTTGCTTTATGGACAATCCAGGGCCGCGTATCGCGTGCTTGACGTCGAGAATAAGAAATATTAATCACGTTTGGCTATAACAAAAAGCGAACAAATCAACATGAGCAAAGAAAAGACTGAAAAGCAAAAATAGCTTGTGTTGTCCCACCTGGGTTTTTAAAAAACCGAGTCTTCTGTCTTACGGGACTGGTGGGATTGGGGGTTTTATGGGTGGGAAAAGCGGATGGACGAGAAAGGGACTTAGTAAAATAACTACAAAAGTCGTAAAACTTCGTAGAAATAGTTTAATGCGGCAGCTATATAGCGGCGGCGTTGGGCGCGTAAATAGAAAAAAAGGTGCGAAAAACAAATAGATATCGCATCGAGCTCGAATCGACGTCGAGAAACCTGGATATGTGGAGTTATATTCCAAAGACTCCCCTTTTTCCCAAGACCCAGTAATAGTGGACTATTTGAATACTTTTTGTAATATTAAGCGTAAATCGTTAATAATAACAAATCTGGTAAAAAAATACAACTGGACAAATGTATAAAACAGTCATATGTTACGTTTAATATTAGAATTCTAAATTTCCGACGACTGGCTGCTGTGAACAACAGGCTGTGTTGTGGCCGGTATACTTGACTTCACTTCTAAGTTTCTGAGCTAAGATGTGTGAATGTATCGTCGGGGAGTTTCGCTGACCTTGGGCGAACTCACTGAGGTACATATTTTTAATATGATCATTAAACCCTAATGGACCAACGGCGGGTGCGTGTAAGTTGGGGGTTGTTCATTGACCTTGGGCGAGGTCATTTAACATTTATTTTCTTTTTTAGAAACCTCAATACTTTAGATGATGCACGTCGCTGTCTATTTTCTTGCGTTAAGGTGTCTTCCCTCTGTTAAACCGCAACTGCAGGAAAAGCATTTCCATGCGATCATCAGCGATGTACCTTAGGCAAATGCTAATCGCCACTATGTAAGAGTATGTGTAGTAATTGCAGGTTGCTTCTTTTCTAGCGAGTTAAGTTGCTACAATGTAATGGCAGGGCTGGGTAGACGAGGAGAGTGAAGAGTTGGCAAAGATATAGTGACAGGGCTGCCAATGCGCGTCGAAGAAGCAAGACGCGATCCGCAGCTATTACTCCGCCGACTTAACTGAATAGGCATAAATACGCCTACTGAAGCGAATATTGTAGTTATTTAAGTGTTTCTTTCAAAAATGGGACTATTCACGCTACGCTTACCGATTAAAATGTCAATTTCTATCGGGTTTCGACCTTGCTATAAACTGTAGAAACTTAGAATATCAGCTTGGCATAAATTAGAATTTATCCTTGATATGGATGTTTTAATTTACCATATTGGCAGCCCAGGTACCTTTTTTGCCGGTATTCTGCCGTTGCTTGACACACCTGCGAGGAGTCCGTCTCACAAGTGAGTCCCCCAGCTCTCCCTGTTTGCTTTCTGTTTGATATACTGGTTTTGGAAGTTATACTTTCCAATGTCCTTAGAAATTAATTTCTGATCTCGATCTGGTCTATAGGCATAGACCAAGCCTTACTGTATGTATTTGGTCCGAACTATATCGGTTACTGAGGGATAACCATGTAAAATACACATGCTGCCAACGAGTAGATAATAGTATAAATGGATGTTGCAAGTTTAAATTAAATTTTGTGTACACTGCTCAAAAACTTTAAGTGTTTCACCGGAAAATTTCATCGTCAAGTTACAGTGAATGAAGTCAGTTGACCAAAGAAAGTTTAACCGTCGTTCCCCATGAAGTCCACCGTGCGTCCTGCAGTATGGTGGACGCAAAGACGGCAGCTTCCATTATAGAATGTGAATCGGGCTTTCAATTTTTTCTTCCGTTTATAGCTCTGATGTTGCCCGACTGGTATTTCCCCGTGGAAATTACGTTTGAGAAGGTGGACAGAGGGTACAAACGGCACCGAGAATATAAGGATACCGAAGGCTGTTGATATCGTTAAACTTCAGTCTGACTGATATAGCTAGCAGGTAGAGAATCTGTGACTTTGTCGGTGCAACAATTCAAGAGAGGACGTTGTACGCGAATTTGTATTTGCAGTTCGTAGCATTTTCAAAAGAAGACAAAAGGTGTCTGAGGTTTTTCCTTACAAACTGATGAAAAAACCATTGCGATTTAATTGTATTGTGCAATTTTAACGAAGATTTGGCCGCATATCTAGAGAGCTAGATGAGAACAAAGGTACTTCGAACAGTCTTAAGGCCTTATAGACGAGACCGTGTGACTCCCATGTAGAACATCAGCTGAAGCTGAGGAGTTCGCTAAGGGGTACCTAAGACCTTGGATGTTTCAACTAATAGTATCGCACAACCCCCGCCCAAAGAAAGTAAATCAATCGATCTCTATTGACGCAGCGATGAAGAAAATGGCTAGGTCAGACGAACTAACCGACAGCTGTGGGTACGGCATTAACTGATCGAGCATGAAGCAGACATGAAGTCACAGTTAACAGTGTATGCAATCTAAAAGGGTCACGATGGTAGGGCTCGCAGAATCAATATGGCAAGCCAAAGAGATGGTCGCACATCACGGGCTTTGTATAAGGCAGTACTGGACCACTGACATAAGGACCCACTTGCGGCATTAAGAGGACAGAGTTATTTGGACAATGTTTACTCTCTTCGAGAGACTGTGAGGAACTCAGACGACAACGGTATCCACTGTTCACCCAATGTGGGAGCCAATCGTGGTGTTCGATGTGTTTGCGCCAAAGCCAGGCCCAGCTACTGCCAATTCTTGAGAAGAAAAATGTTGATTCGCGTCACGGTATCGGCAATTTGAAGGGTGAGTCGCACACAACATTAGCAGTTAAATGCTAAGAGGGGGGTGGAGGGGGTTGAGTCGCCGTCGCTGTGCCGAATAAACTGCCCCATGGGTGTAGGCCTCCTCATCCAGTGCTATTTGCGATCTGCTCGAGGCAGCACAGAAACGGATGTAGTGAAAGATTCCGAAGAGACAGAGCCCTTCAGTCCGCGCTGGATATTCGAAACCACCTACTCCTCCAAAGGCAGCGTAATTAAACCGGACCATCAGATCTCAAACAACGCCAAGGGGGAGTGGAGACCTAGGGCCGTGTGTCCGTCTTGGCGTGCTGGCGGCGCCTCAACAACACCCCTTTAACAAGTT